TACGCTGCATGCCAGCGGGGTGGGGGTACAGGTCGGTGCACCTACGTCCTCCGCACAGGCGACCGCGCGGGTGAGCAGTGTGGGGGTGCGCACCCCACCCTGCGCTGCTTTGGTCGCCTGACGGACGCTTGGCGTCACTTGTTCCCGGAGGCCACTAAGATCCCCCGCTGGGGTGAGCTGTCCAGGGCGGGAGTAGCTATCTTGATGCTATTCTTGCTGCCATGTATGCTGTGTCTATAAGTGATGAGGGTGACTGTTACTGGTGTTATCCGCCCGACCCGGGCATTGAGACTGCTGCTCTAGGTACTGGTGAGGCTGCTGCTCTAGGTGCTAGAGAGGCTGCTGCTCTAGGTGCCAGTGCGTCGGCTTACTCAGATTCTGGTGAGTCTGCGCTCTCAGGTACCGCGTCGGCTTCGGTCTCCCTCACCTTCACCCTTGACTCAAGGGCGTCTCGCTCCTTCATTCGAAACCGCACCACACTCACGCCGCTTGGTCGGCCAGTTGCAGTCTCTCTTGCAGACCCCTCTGGGGGTCCTGTCCTCTCTCACTTCTCCACTGTCCTCCCGTGTCTGGCGGCCCCCTCTAGCACCTTGTCTGGTCTTTACCTCCCCTCGTTCTCTACGAACTTGGTGAGTGGTGCTGACCTACAGGATGCGGGGGTTCACCAGTTCAATCCTACGAGTCAGCGGATGACCCACTGCACGGACGCTCGTACAGGCTGACACCTGGCCACGTTTACACGTCCGCCGGGGTCGAGCATGTACACCCTAGCCACTGAGTCTCCTCCTGTCACTGCGTGTGGTCAGGTAGCTGCGTCGGGTCAGGTGTTCGCTGCAGCGTCCAGGTCTGGTCCTGAGTCTTCCCCCTGCTCGTGTCGCCTCCTGTCTCACGAGACTCTCCTGTGGCACCACCGCCTTGGTCACCCCTCCCTGCTTCGTCTCCAAACATGGCCTCCCGTGTCCTTGTCTCTGGTCTCCCCCGGTCCCTCCCTCCCCTTCCTCCGGGGCCTGGCCCTACCTGCGTCCCCAGTGTCGAGGGGCGGCTGCGGGCTGCCCCTCACTCCTCCCCGTTTCCTCCGACAGAGGCCCCGCTGCAGGACGCTTCACAAGGACGTGTGGGGCCTGGCCCGCGTCCGTGGACAGGGTCACGAGCGCTACTTCGTGCAGGTGGTTGACGACTACTCGCGTTATACCACAGTCTTCCTCTTGCGCAGCAAGGGTGATGTCGCTAAGGTGCTGATCGACTGGATCCGCGCAGCTCGTCTCTTGCTCAGGAGGAGCTTCGGCCTGGACTTTCCTGTTCTGCGTCTGCACTTTGACCGAGGCAGAGAGTTCTCCTCTGGCCTTCTGCGAGCCTACTGTCGTGCACGAGGCATCCGCCAGACCTTTACGCTTCCGGACTCTCCACAGCAAAATGGGATTGCTGAGCGCCGCATTGGCATGATCATGGACGTCGCTCGTACGTCCATTATGCATGCGGCTGCCCCCCATTTTCTGTGGCCGTTTGCGGTTCAGTACGCCGCGCATCAGATCAACCTTCACCCCAGGGTCTCCATGCCGGAGACCTCCCCAGCCTTGCTGTGGACGGGGAAGGTTGGCGATGCGTCTGCGTTCCGTGTCTGGGGATCTCGGGTGTTTGTCCGCGACTTGTCTGCGGACAAGCTGTCCCCTCATGCTGCTCCTTGACGAGTCGGTCCCCTACTACTCCCTCTTCCCCTACCGCACTCCGTCCCTCCCCCCGCCTCCGCTCTTCCTTGTGCCAGGTCCCCCTCTGGTAGACCCCCTCCCCCCTCAGGGTCCTGCCCCTTCAGGTGTGTCCCAGGTAGACGCAGTCGAGCCTATTGAGGTTACTGGTGACTCTGGTGCTGCTGCGGGTGCTGAGCCTGGGGGTGCTGACTCTGGGAGTGCTGAGCGTGTGGGTGGAACGCCTGGGGGTGCTGGGCCTACGGGTGGTACTACTGGGGGTGCTGAGCTTGGGGGTGCGGAGACCGGGGGTGCTGAGCCTGGGGGTGCTACGACTGGGGGTCCGGAGCCTGGGGGTGCTGCGTCTGGAGGTGCTGAGCCTGGGGGTGCCACGTCTGGAGATGCCGAGCCTGGAGGTGCGGAGCCTGCAGCAGCTAGGCGTGCTCGTGTGGCGTGTAGCGGTTCTGGGCCTGGCGGTTCTCCGGGTGCTTCATCTCGGCGGGAGCCGCTCTCTCCGTAGGAGCTGCGCGAATGGTTTGCTCGGCGCTTGAGGCGTACTGCTGGAGTTGGAGCTTCTTCGCCTGCTGAGGGTGCTGGTGTTGCGGGTCCCGGAGGTGCTTGTGCCGCGAGTATTGGAGCTGCAGGGTCTGCGAGTACGCCTGGAGCTGGAGCTGCTGAGGGTGTTGGCGCTGAGGCAACATCCTACTCCTCTCAGTGGCAGGCAGCTATGGATGCAGAGATGGCGTCCTGGAAGTCCACAGGCACCTACGTTGACGAGGTTCCCCCACCTGGGGCGAACATCGTCAGTGGCATGTGGATTTTTAGGGTGAAGCGGCCGCCGGGTTCTCCGCCTGTCTTCAAGGCGCGTTACGTGGCTCGTGGCTTTAGTCAGCGGCAGGGAGTTGACTACTTTCAGACCTTCTCTCCCACCCCGAAGATGACCACTCTTCGGGTGCTACTGCACATAGCCGCTCAGCGTGACTACGAGCTTCACTCTCTTGACTTTAGCACAACTTTCTTGCAGGGCAGCCTACACGAGGAGATCTGGCTGCGTCGCCCACCTGGCTTCACTAGGTCTGTCCATCCTGGCACCCAGTGGAGGCTCCAGCGGCCAGTCTACGGTCTCCGCTAGGCGCCAGGTGAGTGGGATGACACAGTGAGGACTACACTTGCGGCTCTTGGGTTTGCTCCTTCTACAGCCGACCCGTCCCTGTTTCTGCATACCGACACTTCTTTGCCGCCGTTTTACATCCTCGTGTACGTCGACGACTTGGTCTTTGCCACAGCTGACACTGCTGGACTCGCCCACGTGAAGTCCGAGCTGCAGAAGAGACACACGTGCACAGACCTGGGTGAACTGCGCAGCTACCTTGGCTTGCAGATCACTCGGGACAGAGCACGCCGCACCATTACCTTGACTCAGTCACACATGGTGCAGCAGGTCCTTCAGCGCTTCGGCTTCACGTACTCCTCGCCTCAGGCCACTCCTCTATCTACTCGCCACTCACTCTCAACTCTGCCTTCGGATGAGTCCGTAGAGTCGAGTGGCCCGTACCCAGAGCTTGTTGGCTGCCTCATGTACCTGATGACCTGCACACGACCTGACCTTGCATACCCTCTTAGCATTCTTGCACGCTTTGTTGCTCCTGGGAGACACAGACCGGAGCACATGGCTGCAGCGAAGAGGGTGTTGCGCTACTTGTGCAGTACGTCGGGCATGGGGCTAGTGCTTGGAGGGCAGAGTCTAGTGGTCCTCACTGGGCACGCAGACGCTTCTTGGGCTGACGACCAGGCTACACAGCGGTCGTCACAGGGTTACACCTTTAGCCTTTGAGTCAGGAGCCATCCCAAGATGGACAGCCCACACAGCAGCAACTTCTAGCTTGTGCCTCTGCTCCTTAGGCACCATCACAAGCCCCACACACGCAGCATGTCAATAGATGGCTTCTTCCCAAGCCAACGCTCGTACGACACCCAATGCTTGTCGCCAACATGCGTCAAGACCCTGTTCTTGACCGTGATGACATGGCGAACGGCATCAGGCCAGAACTTGTACGGCATCCCAGCAGCCCCCAACAAGGTCTTAGCCGCCTCGCCAATAGTCCGGTTGGCACGCTCAGCAATGCCGTTCTGGTGCGGTGTTCCAGGGCAGGTTAGCTGATGTCGGATGCCATTTCTCTTGAGGAACTTGGTGAATTCCGCTCCAAGGAACTCTCCACCTCGATCGCTCCTCAGCACCTTCACCAGCCGCATCGCTTGCCGCTCCACCATCGGCAACCAATCCTCCTTGATCGCCGCTGCAGCATCGCTCTTCTTGGACAAGGGACGTGCCCACGTGAAACAGCTCCATTCGTCCACCATGGTAAGGAAGTACAGCACTCCCCCAGTCCCCTCAGTCCTCATAGGACCCACCAGGTCCATGTGCACCACCTCCAATGGTGCCTTCACTGATCCCTCCGCTCGTGGGAATGGGAACCGCGCAAACTTGTTTTGCATGCACGCCTCGCAGCTGCCATAGTGAGTGCCATCTCCTTGTAGTTGCAGCCCATGCACGCACTTCTCTTTGTGCATCACCTCCAGTGTAGAAACAACCACGTGTGCGAGCCGCCGATGCCAAGTCTCCCAATCCGCTTGGCCCGAGGTAGCCGACGCCTTCACCGCCGCGCTTCCTCCAATCAGCTCCTCTCCTTGCATACCTTGCTGCTCCTCCTCGGTGACGCTCTCCTCCATAGATGCTGCCACTGCCGCCTTGCCCGATTTCCGCCAAGGGAGGACCGGGATCTACCACATCCGCTTGTGGACATCTCCCTTCCACTGCAGGTCCCAAATGAGGCGCTCATCGTTGTAGGCACGATAGTGCTCTGAGCCAATCGTCTCGGTGTTCACACCCGCATCTCCCAACTGGCCAGTAGAAATCAGGTTCGCGCACAAGTCCGGCACCCACAGCACATTCTTCAGCCCCACGAGCTCTCCATCCGCTCCCATGAACTTGGCGCATCCCATGCCCATGACCTTGGCCTTGGCACCCGTCGCGGATGTGACTGTAGAGATGGGTGCGGGCTGAATCTCATCAAGTAGGTCCGCACGAGGAGTCATGTGCCAAGAGCTCCCGGAGTCAATCACCCAATGGGTGAGGGGGTGTAGGAGAACCTTGGCAGCCATAGCGTGGTCGGTTGCGCCTTCGTTCACGAAGAAGAAGAACCCGGCCTTCCGCTCCTCAGATTTGCCGCCTTTCTTCTCATCCTTCTCCTCTCCACTAGCTCCCATGACTCCCCCACTCCTCGTGCCACCATGCTGGTTTCTTGATGAAGGCGGGGTTTAATCCTTGGGTCGTTGGTAGCACTTCCGCCAACGATGTCCGCGCTTCTTGCAGTAGAAGCACACCTCCCCTTGACCCCCGCCGCCATCCTCCTTAGGGTTATCCTTGTTCTTGCCCTTCCACTTCTTCTTGAAGCCACTCTTTCCACCTCCAACTCCATAGCCAGCCCTCTCTTCCGAGCGCTCCACACTCCGCCGCCGCAGGTCCTCCTCTAGGATGCGCGCGCGAATGTAATCCACGCTCCATTGGGGTTGTTGGGAGCTGAGGTTGATCGCTAGGGCAGACCATGACTCCGGCAGCCATATCACGATCTCTACGCATTGCACGAGCTCCGGGTACACCACACCGCCTCCTTGGAGCTTCGTGAAGATGTCGCGCATCTCATCCAACACCGGTTGCATCGGCTCTCCATCAACGAACTTAATGTCGCGCAGCCGCCGCGGGAGTAGCACGATGCCGGTAGCATGTGTCGGTGAGTGCACATCTAGAAGCTTCCTCCAAGCCTTGGGGCCACACTCTAGATCACCCAAGAGGTCCTTGATGTGGTCAAGTTGCCGTCCGCCCACCGCTTGCACCATGAGCATGTACGCGTCGAACGATCGCTTCATCCACGCTCCTTTCAGCTCCGCGGCCTGCGGCATCTTCTCCTTTCCCTCCAACAAATCAAATAGCTTGTATTGGGTGTACATCAGCCTCATGCGGAAACTCCAGTGCTCGTAGTCCTCCCCCATGAATTTCTCAATAGAGAAAGCTTTCACAGGATCCACGGTAGTAGGAGATGGTGTAGAAGAAGTAGGTAGCGTAGGGTTGGCTGGTTCGTGAGTCCCCACTCCTCCACCAGCAACTGCCCCCTGCTCTCCAGCCTCTCTACTTCTATCCATCTTGCCACTAGCACCTCCGGAGTTCATACCAACCATATTGAGGCCTTATGAACGGGGGAAACTTGAGAAATCGTTTGGAGAGAATTCTGCCAGAAATTTTGATTCTACAAAAATCGCCGTCGCGGACTCCATACTTCGAATTAGAACGCGATTCGACCACCAATTGAAATTTTGCAAGCCGAGCTACTAGAGAATGGTCTCACTTGACAACATTGGTTGAGAATCAACGACGATTTGTCGTCTCAAAGTTGACTACCCGCTCTGATACCACTTGTTGTTCAGGATCCGTCATTTTGAGAGCTTACGAAGAAGTCAATTCTCAACTAAACGCAAATCCGCTCAGTAAGAAGTTGCGCCTTAGTCTTAGCTACCATCTCCAAGTTGAATTAGTCATTAAGATGGTCTATAGAGTGAGAACCAAGTAAAAACGTCCAGCAGCCGCATGACTAGAATGGTGGAGGAAGTACAAGCATTAAGGCATAGGAAGTTGGAGTTGGGAACCTCCAAGAGAACCATGAGAGGGAAGGGTTTCTCCAAGAGCTAGAGAAGGATGGTAAGAACCTTCCTAGCAGCAAGGATGCAACCCTCATCATGAGGTCCTTGAGGTGTCACATGCAAAATCCAATCTAGTTGGATTTTGCCTAGGTGTTGCAACATTTGCAACCCATGCTAGAAAGTTCTAGCCACTCCAATCCAAAAGTCAAAGTTGCCTTCCTAACCACCCAACCAAAAATCCCTTTATAGTCATGTCCCAAGTAATCACCCAAATTAGATATAACCCCAAAAGGTAATAAGAAATCCAAATCTTGGAAATCTTGTAACTTGGGCGATCTTGGTGTCGTTGGAAAGCTCTGGATTTCTCCTACATGATCAAGCATTTAGACTTGGAGAAAAAACAGAGAGATGATAATATCCAACAGCCATGCACAATGACATACGCTCATGCAAATCATGCAAGCACAAATAGCACGAGCACTCGGCAGGACGTTAGGATGACATGCACTCAGAATGACGTGCATCCAACACACACTCTAGTGAGTACACCCCTTTTTGGGTTTCATATTTGTACTCATCCTACTGCTCAATACAATCATTCCTGTACATTTCATTTTGACATGGTTTCAGAGCACGAAACCTGCTAGGATTTTTTTTATGGCCCACCGAATCGTTCCGCTCGTTCCTGCCCAAAGCGCCTTAGCGCTGTTCTCTCCTGCTGTCACTCACACTGCCTTGCTGTCACGCGCGCTGCCTTCCCTGCCTGCACGTTGCTGTGTACTGTCGCGCGTCCCTCCTACCCACGCACCTGCTGGCCTGTGCGCTGTCGCTGCTGCCAGCCCGTCGCTTGCGCCCGGCCTGCGCGCTGCCTACGCGCACCCTGCACGCCCCTGTGGCTTAGAGCGCTACTCGCGCTGCCCGCCTGCAGCCTACGCCTGACCTACGCGCAGCCAGCGCGCACCCCACCCGCACCCTACGCGCACTCAGCGCGCACCCCATGCGCATCCCGCGTGCACCCCTGCGCTCGGCATTTTCGTGCTACTGCTGCTGCCACTTACGCAGGTCCTACTGCTGCATGCGCAGTGTCAGAATGTTATGTTTGTCTAGCCTGCAGTGGGGCACTCAATAGTGAGTACAGCCCAACTTAGGGTTTCCAATATGTACTCAACTGCTTGCTAATGAACCTCCTCTCTTCTTCATTCTCGTTCTAATCTTCACATGCTATCAGAGCATCTACGCTCCTGGCCTGTGGTCCCATCTAACTGCTTCCGCTGCTACTCTGTGTTCGGCACGCCCCGTGGCGTGCCCCTCGCGCTACTCTTAGCGGACCCGTTGCCGCCCTTCCAGGCCCCTCGCGGCCCCTTCGCGGCCCCGTCGCCGCCCCTATCGGCCCCGTCGACGCCCCTTCGCGGCCCCGTCGCCGCCCCTATCGGCCCCGTCGACGCCGCCAGCGGCCCCGTCGCCGACCCTAGTGGCCCCGTCGTTGCTCCTACCAGCCCCGTCGCCGCCGCCTGCGGCCTCGTCGTCGACCCTAGCGGCCCCGTCGCCGCTCCTATTGGCTCCACCGCCGTCGCCAGCGGCCCCGTAGTCGCCGCCAGCGGCCCCGTCACCGCCTCCAGTGGCCCCGTCGCCGCCACTTGCGGCCCCGGCCTCACCCTGGCCATGCCCCGTTGCCAGCCGCGGCGCACCGGGGGCACGTGCACCGCCCCCCCCCCCCCCCCCCCCCCCCCCTTTTCCCGTCGCCCGTCGAGGCGACCTGAGGGGGCCGCACGACCTGGGGGAGGGGGGCGAGCATCGCCCCTTCTGCCGCCTGTTTTGGCGCCCTGGGAGACCGCGCATCCCCCCCCCCCCCACCCCCCCCCCCAACCTCCCTACCCGCTGTCCTGCCCTGCCCTGTGTTAGGGTCTGGGGGTGGCGAGTAGGGGGTGACGGGTGTGTGGTCTCCCCTGCTCCTCCTCCTCCTTCGTCTCCCACTGCTGCAGCTAACGCTGAGGGGGGTGGATGTGTGGGAGCCTAGGGTTTAGGGTTTAAGGGGGGTGCTGTGGGGGTGGAGCTAGGGTTTTGAGGGAGATGGATGTGTGTGAGCCTGTGGTTTAGGGTGTAAGGAGGGTGCTATGGGAGTGGAGCTAGGGTTTGAGCAGGGGGTGTGTGTCGAGAGGTGTGGGGCAGCTGGAGGAGGTTGGTTGAACGGAGGTTGTCGTTGTGTCGTCAGCAGCACCAGTAGTCTGGGGCGCTGCTCCGGTAGCCCAGTCGTAGCCAGCTGTGCCAGTCGCCCGTGGGTCCGTTGCTCGTCTGCCGCTAGTCTTAGCCGCGGAGCCAGTTACTCTAGTAGTCCGGAGCGCTATTCTGGTAGCCGCTATGCCAGTGTGACTCCTGTTGCGCGTGTGTTTGCAGCTTCAGCCGTCGCCTCCTATCTCCTCTCCTCTTACAATCTCGCCTCCTCCTCCTCACTTGCCCTTTGTGAATGACTCTAGCTTTGCTCGCTATTGTGAACTCCTGCTCTATGCCTGCTTACACCCCACTTTGGCTATGGGGGTGTGTCAGAATGTTATGTTTGTCTTGCCTGCAGTGGGGTACTCAATAGTGAGTACAGCCCAACTTAGGGTTTCCTATATGTACTCAACTGCTTGCTAGTGAACCTCCTCTCTTCTTCATTCCTCAATTCTTCACACGCTGCTGCTAAGCTCTGCTGCTGCTTCTAAGCACTGCTGCTGCTACTAAGCACGCTACTACTGCTATTGCTCCTGCAAGCGCTACTGCGGCTGCACCGCCCAGCCAGTACCGCACCGCCCTGCCGAGCCGCTCCGCCCAGCCCGAGCCGCGCCACCCTACCCGAGCCGCACTGCCCTACCCCTATTGAGCAGCACCGCCCTACTGCTGCTACTATTGATGCTACTACTGCTACAGTTACTGCACCTTCTGCTACCGCAACTACTGCTGCTACCGCTTCTCCTGCTACTATGGCTACCGTCTCGGTTCTTAGCTTCGATGCGGAGGGTCGCGCCATTAGCATTGATGTTTGGCTCGATGATCTCCAGCTTTACCTGCAGAGCGAGGCTAGGGATGGCATTTTACTTTTCGCGCATACGTCCGGATCCCTCATAGCCCCAGCTGACACAAAGGTAGCAGATTATTCAAAGTGGCTCATTCGTGATGCTACTGCCCGCCTTGCTGTCCGCAACCACCTTCCGCGAACACTCCCCCGCTTTATATCACCCTGTACTTCCTCGTCACACGCCTCCCTGACTCCCTCCGTACTGTTAGGGACCACTTTCTCGCCCTTGACCCCACGGAGCTCACTTGCCTTGCTAGAGAAGTCCCTTTCGAGGTTGAGACCAGTACTGTTGCTGTCGCTGCCTCTCGTGGGCACTCCACGCTCCCCCTTCTAAGTGTGCTTCCTCCCCTCTCATTCCATCAATTGCTACTACTGTTGCTGTCGACCTCCTAGTGGGAGGCGCAACAACAGCAAGGGCAAAGGGGGTAAGTGTGGAAGGGGCGGCACTAGCGGTGGTGGTAGCGGGGGTGGTGGTGGTGGGGGTGGAGGCGGACGGGGTGGTGGAGGCGGCGGGGGTGGTGGAGGCGGTGGGGGCGGTGGAGGAGGTCAAGGTGGAGCTGGCAGGGGTGGTGGCTATGGCGGCTCCCCTCGTGGAGGTGGAGGCTATGGGAGTGGACAGAAGTTGCCGCGCCTCCCGGACAACCCCACCAACCAGCAGCTTCGTGAGTGGGTTCTCCAATATGGTTCCTCTGGGGGCTCTAGTCGCTGCCCGTATGTCAAGCGCACTGGTTTCAAGAAGGATCAGACCTGCGGAAAGGGTCACACTGAGTATAAGTGCTTCGGCCGTCTCGAGGATGCCTGGGTGGCTGAGTACAGTGAAGAGTAGGTTGTGCCCAATTGGTTGCAACTGATCAGGATGGGAGTAGATGTGTATGCTCTTGACTTTGCCAAAATCAGTGTTGCTATCTATGCTATGTATGTTGTTGAAATGAGTGTTGAGAGTGCGTATTACTCGTGTGTGCCTTGCCATGCTAGTGTCAATGCTGCTGCACTAGGTGCTAGTGAGTCTGCTGCCGCTCTAGGTGCTAGCGTTTTTGCTACCACATGTGCTAGTGAGTCTGCTGCTAGTAAGTCTGCTGCCTTAGCTGAGGTCCTGCACACTTTCACACTTGACCCAAACGCATCTTGTTGCTTCTTTCGTGACTGCATCACAGTCACACCACTTGCCGCACCGGTCCCAGTCTCACTGGCTGATCCCTCAGGGGGTCCAGTAGTCGCACGAGCCTCCATTGTCCTCTCCTGTCTGGTAGTTCCTTCTGGCTCTCTTTCCGGTCTCCACCTCCCCTCGTTCTCGACAAACTTAGTGAGCAACGCAGCCCTGTAGGATGTATGGGTTGATACCTTTACTCTTGGAGGGCAGCGTGTGGCAATCTGTACGTGTTCACGGACTGGCCGTCACCTTTCTACGTTCACTCGGCAGCCTGGGTCTAGTCTGTACACGCTGACCACTGCGTCTGCACAGGTGGCTTCATCCGGT